GCCGTTTCGTCTGATTCGGTCGCGTTGAGTGTTAGCGTACGCCCTTTTCGTTTTTTTACTGCTAGTACTGTTATTTTAAAGCTAGGTATACGCCGTTTCGTGTGAACATAGATCTGAGGCAGCGCTATCTACTAGTAGTAACAACTCAAAACTGCCAAAATCTGGAATACGCCCTTTCGTGTGACAGGCGACGAGTTGCAGGACGAGACATAACTTTCATACATTCCACCCGAACAGCTTGGACGCTTTCACTGAACTGTTACTGATGAACTCAAGTGCGACGTACTACACGTACACAACACTGTCCCCGTAGAATTATGCAAATTTAGATGGCCAAATTATACCCAAAAAAAGCAAAATTATGCAAGTTACCGTAACACCATTGGCGACATGTTTTGCACTTTTTCAGCAAGAATTTTCATGATTTTCATGTTTTATGTACAGAAAAAATGAAAACGAAACATATCAGTATCAGTAATTTGTTGTGTATTTATTTGGAAAGAAAACAATACACATCAGTCAGAAAAAAACAATAAAAAAATATAATCTCTGTAACTTTCAGGTATAGATCTATTTATATCTCTATAGAGGAAAGAAAAATGTAAAAAAGAAAAAATGCAAATGTTGCAGATTTATGCGAAAAAACGCGGCCGCCGCATAATCCTACAGGGACACATAACAACAACACACCTCAACGATTTGGTCTTAAGGTTAGTCTCCACACTGGAGAGAATACTTGGGTATGTGTGTGTGAACACGCTAAGTGAGAGCCTGAATGATGGAGATTATCTCACTCACACTTTATGAGTTTATCTGTTTTACCTCTGGCGTTGACCAGATGACAAGGACATGTGGTTACTTGAGGGAGGCATTGCGCTGCCAAGAGCGAAATGCTCGCAAATAAAGGGATTTGAAAACAACAACAACAACAACATCTGTTTTATCTGTCTTGGGCAACAATGTCATTGCACACACCGGACAGGTCCATAAGTGCTCAGTTCCTCTCAGCACCAAAGCCCGCAAGTGGGTGGTTGGCGGGTGCTCTGGTGTGGTTTGCTTCTTCTTTCCTGTCAAACATCTGTCGTCCTTTTCTCCCCTTCTTTTTTATGTTTGTTACTCTCTTGTAACACTTCTAATCTTCTGGCACTCTTATGACCTTATACTGTTGCGAGCGCCGTAAAACCTCTACTAAAACTAACTAAAACCCCGTACGGTATCCATACTGATTGTTCCAGTGGCTGTTTGATTATGGCTACGTCTTTCCTTTACTGATAATCGTTCCTTTCTTCCTTCTCCCCTCTGTATCCCCATTTCCCACATCCTGATGATTGCGTGGTGTTCTGCTGTCTTCCTGTCTTTCTCGTCCTGCAATTTTTCCTCCTGGTTCTTCAACACTTCTCCTTTGTCAAATTTCACCTCACCATCAACCTTGGCACTTAATGGGTAAGTGTTAAATCACTAAAAACTGTAAAAAACTTTAATGCTAGCTCTGATTTTACTTTTTTCTGTCATTCTCAATGTGGTCGCTGGCATTGTTTACAAGTACTCTTTTCTCTTTTTCCCTTTTTTCTTTCGTTGCCTGCACAGTCACTTATATTGATTCTACTTCCTCTCATTCCCAGTATGGTCGCTCACATTGATCTTACTTTCTCTCGTTCCCAGTATGGTCACTCACATTGATCTTACGTTCTCTCATTCTCAATCTCAGTATGGTCACTCACATTGATCTTACTTTCTCTCGTTCCCAGTATGGTCACTCACATTGATCTTACTTTCTCTCGTTCCCAGTATGGTCACTCACATTGATCTTACTTTCTCTCGTTCCCAGTATGGTCACTCACATTGATCTTACTTTCTCTCATTCTCAGTATGGTCACTCACATTGATCTTACTTTCTCTCGTTCCCAGTATGGTCACTCACATTGATCTTACTTTCTCTCGTTCCCAGTATGGTCACTCACATTGATCTTACTTTCATTCTCAGTATGGTCACTCACATTGATCTTATTTTCTCTCGTTCCCAGTATGGTCTCTCCTCTATTGATTTTACTTTTCTCTCTGGTTCCCAGCATCGACGCCTGGACATAATCGTAGTGCCATACAGCGAGTACGGCTGTGCCCTGGTTTACTTCACCGGCTCCGCCCACTTCAACAGGTCCTTGCGACACCTGTGTAAGAAGTCAAGCATGTCGCTCAACGAACACGCTTTGAAGTCCGGAGTTGTCCGTAAGGTATGCAGTGGGTGGTTGCATGGAGAGTACCACTTCTTTGCTTTCCTTCCTTCTGTTGGGTTGTTTGTTTGTTTCTTTTGGGGGGGGGGGGGTTGTTGGGTTTTTTTGGGGGGAGGGGGGGGGTTGTCCATCTCTCTTGCTTTTTGCCTTCACTAAATGACTGTTATCGTGTCAATAGCATAACGTAGACACAACAGAAGCAACACATGTACTCATCAAAACTTCCACCAACCACCCATTCTATTACAGGACTGCACTTTATGTCATGTGTTGATTTGCATTTTGTTTTAATGTTCTCAGGGAGCAGAAAAAATCTACGAGGGTACAGTGATACCGACGCCCACAGAGAAGTCTGTGTTTGAAGCTTTGAATGTGCCATATAGACCCCCTGAGGAGAGAGATCACTGAGGACTCCTGTGTGCTGGGAGAATAATTGGGCTGTCCTCTACTCACAGAACTATGTGACTGACAGAGAGATCACTGAGACTTAAAGTCATTGTGTGCTGAGAAAATGACTGGGCTGTCCTCTTCACACAGAAATACGTAACTGACAGAGAGATCACTGAAACTTAAAGTCCTTGTGTGCTGAGAGAATGACTGGGCTGTCCTTTACATACAGAACTATGTAACTGACAGAGAGATCTCTGAGACTGAGGACTTCTTTGTGCTAGGAGCATGGTTGGACTGCCCTGTAAACCCAGATTTACGTAACTGACAGAGAGATGACTATGGGTTGCTGTGTACTGAAAGAAGGGCGACAGTCCTGTACTCACAAAACTACACAACTGACCATTTTCCTATTTTGACTTGTTTTTAGATAAATAGCTTCCAACTTTCAACTCCCAGGCTGTCAAAGCTATTGACATTTGAGAGAAAAATTGTTGTATGAATGTTTCACTTTAAGGACATGGTGGATCATATTGACACTACCTACAAGTTAACCCTATCCGTACGTCGTTTTTCACTATTGTATCCATAGGACGGGGGGAACTCTGTGCAACCACTTTCAAAGAGGAAATTTATTCATTAATCTGATCCGTACACTTTGCATAGCAGTCTGTCAAAATGATTTTTTGAAAAATACTGAAAGTTTCAAAGAGATCTTCGTACTAGAAGTATTCTAAAATGTGAAGAATACAACCCTGGGAGTACAAAATGACCCCAGGGCGTACGGAGAGGGTTAATGACATCTTCAGCTGCCTGTGATAGCGATAATGAAATTGTATGATACTCATAATTTGTATTTATTCTTTTAATCAACTTGTATGATTCGTGCAATGCCTTCATTTACTTATATTTATTTAACCAATTTGTAAATACACAGCCAAATAAGATTTCTAGTTTTTGCAAGCTGTTTTACTATCAAGCATGTATGCTTACACTTATTTATATTAAATAGGCCTACTATATAATATATATATATTTATGTATAGTCAGCTTCATTCTAGTGTTGCCCAAACAATTTCTAGGATATCCCAAAAAACGTTGTTCAAAGGGACATCATACAAATTAGTTCAATTCTCTTTTGTTATTTCTTTCCTACTTTATAATTGAAAAATAACGAGTACTCAATTCATGCTACTGGTTTTGGCACTGTTTTTCTTTACTTTTCTCAAACTTATTGTGCTTAACATTGTAAAATAAGTCTATGGCCACAGATAATTTTTTTTTGGGTGGGGGGGTTGGGGTTGTTTCCCATAAAATCAAACATCTTTTTTTTGTTTCTCTTGCTGCTGTAGTGGCAAATTCTGTTTACTAACATTTTTTTCTCCAAAGTCCCAGCAGGGTTATACTTTTGACTATCTTTTGACTATCTTTTAGTGATGAGCTGACCTTTTCAATATATATATAATTTTCAAGACAATGCTTTCCAATGAACAGTTCTTATTTGTGTGTGTGTGTGTGTGTTTGTGAGTGAGTGTGTGTACAAAAACATCATATATGTTGTGTGTATGAATAGTATTCTTGGATATGTTGTAAAAATATCATATATTGATTTGTTTGGGGGGGGGGGGTTAATTTTGAAATTTATTTGTTGAATAAATTCTTATCAAAATGTTTTTATGCAATATCATGGTTCCGTGTTTGAATAATGGCCGCAAAATGTGATGTAGATCTAACTCCAACCACTGAATACAGCTTTCATATAATTCAGTTCGGTTTTTTTCTTCAACACTTTTCTCATACATCACAAATCCAATAGTCCACTTTAAAAAAAAATTGTTTTCCCTATCTTCCCCATACTACAATCAAACCTTGCACACATTCTATTGTAGTATGAGGAAGATAGTGAAAACAATATCACCCTTTGTTGAGAGTGAAGAAAGTGAAAACAGTATCTCCTATTGTGGAGAGAAGAGAGGAAGATAGTGAAAACAATATCACCCTTGTTGAGAGTGAAGATAGTGAAAACAATATCACCCTTTGTTGAGAGTGAAGATAGTGAAAACAATATCACCCTTTGTTGAGAGTGAAGATAGTGAAAACAATATCACCCAATGATGAGAGAAGAGAGGAAGATAGTGGAAACAATATCATCCATTGATGAGAGAAGAGAGGAAGATAGTGGAAACCATATCACCCATTGTTGAGAGAAGAGAGGAAGATAGTGAAAACAATACATGTATCACCTCTTACTATTGTTGAAGAGAAGAGTGTCATCTTAAACAGGTGATCCGTTTACACAATGTCAGTAGGCCCCCTACATGTATTTCATAATACTTGGAGAAGAATCACAGAAATGGATCACAGAAAAGTGGGAACACATGGAATAACATCAACAGGCTAGCCCAGGATAGAGAAAGGTGGAAGGTGTTTGTCCGTGGCCTATACCCCGGTGCAGGGTGAGAAAGGCAATGAGGAGGAGAGATGAGGTTTTGTCGCAAAAAACTTTAATGTATATATTTATATATATATCAGAACACAGGACCTGGTGTGAACTATAAGAATGTATCAAGTGATTGTACTGGTAGTTCTTTTTTGTGGTGTAGTGTATTTGTGGTGGATATGGTGGTGTCGTCAGTGTGTATCTGCGTGTGAGTGAGAGAGAGAGAGAGAGAGAGAGAGAGCTAAGAAGAAGAAAAAGGGAGCGTTTGTTGTGCGGTTACAGTTCATAGGACACTTGAACTGAGATTAAGTTGAAAGCTTTGAACATATCATATATATCGGTCGTTGGAGAGGCGGGGTAGACCAAAAAAAAAAATATTTCCGGTTGGCCTACTTTAGTTATACAGATGAGAAACGGGAGACCTGGAAAATAGTTTTATAATAGGCCTACTAATAATACGCGTTGTGAGAGCATCCGAGCAGAGAAATGAATTGCATTCTATGACCGCTGCTTTTTTCCCCTTCTAATACATGTAATGGACGTGTTTTACGTCCCCATAGACACAATTAGATCATTTTGCTGCATTTCAGGGCCAACCCGGGCTGAGAGGGGAGGGGGGTGCAGCATCCAGGCACAAAGACCGATAATTATGCCGTACTCGACTAAAATATCTCCCACTTGTTTTTAGTACATTACCGAACTCGTGTCTCCTGCGTGCCACAGCGAATTGAAGAGCCTTAATTACCGCAAAGATTCTGTACAATCTGTAATTGCCGCTACACCACAGACGCCGACATGACCGCCGATGCCCGTTTCAGATTTGGAGACTGGAGAGAAAAAACAACAAGAAAAACAAAAAAAGAACGGAAACAACAAGGAGAAAAACAGACGGAAAAAAAACA